GTGTCCTATTCGCGCCTTGTTTACGGTCCAAAACAAGTTAAGCAAATGAATGAATCAAGCGGCGATTTACATTTCTATAGATGTCTTGGGCATTTAGCCAATATATCGGTAATGGCTGTTCATCGACTTGTTGATATTTTTTCCCCCCCCGAGCCTCAGAGCAAAAGAGAAAAGGGATTCAAATTTTATATTTCTCAGTATCTGTAAGCAGCGGTCCCTCGTTTATCGCGGTGTTATGTGTTATATTCTAAAAATAACCAGCGATAGGTGAAATCAAGTAGCCAATTTTATTTTTTGACGGTGCAAAATGTTTCATCAACATCGTCGACATACAGTACTGCACTTCAGAGTCACACTGCTAGCGATCGATGCAGAGATTCTGTACTGTACAGGAGAGACGTCACGGAGGAGATCGTCTGCAGCGATCAGGACGCAGGACACAATGTGATGTTTATAAAAATAAAAAATTTTTTTTAAAAAAAGCATGCAAACTTGCACTAAAAGATCTGCGAAACAGCAGGTGAAAAGTGAACCGCGTTATAGTGAGGGACCGCTGTAATTTTGAAGGTAAGTCACAACATACCCTTCGTACATACTAATGTATAGAAACCGTTACCAGCAATCATTCAATTTTTGTGTGGCTTTTTTCAGGGTTTGTTAACATGCTGTGTAGGTGTGTACTTGACTAGCTGATATCGACATAACGGGGAAACATCTGGTTTGACTATTCTTCACCTGTAGTTTGAATGCTGAACATTTGCCTGTTTAAATCATAAGACCAGTCACTATACAGAGATGTGCTTCTGAATGTGGACGATGTGTCTTCTGCAGTAATGCAGTTCTGCTTGTGTTGAGTGATGTAAACAACTGATCGCTCTAAACTCTTTAAATGTCAAAATTGATCATTAGATTTTTTATGACACAACAGTGGTGAGTATTCCCACCTTCTGCTCTTTGTAACTTAAAGCGATCTTTCAGTTTTCGAGTTTTGGACATGATTTTGGAGTATATTTTCGCAGTAGCGATTGACCGCAAAGTAAAGCTACCGGAAATGTACAACTCTACATCCGGTCTCAAACCAGGAAGTTAGCATTTTCTCGTGCACAGGGTCTATAGTCCAAACAATCACACCAAAACTGTGTCGTCGTCAACAACAACCCCCCAATAAGCAAATCTGTAACCATTAACAAGGCGAACCCATGAAATCCTTTATGGTCGTTGTCAAAGGAGCTTGCAAGGAAAAGCGTCTGGACTTCTTTAAGTTGCTTGAAGACGTTTCACCTCTCATCCGAGAAGCTTCTTCAGTTCTAAGGTCAAATGGTGGAGAGTCCCAGATATAAACCTAGTGGGAGTGTCCCCCCACAGAGGGACAAAAGGACCCCCTGATGATCCTCTAATCGCCTGAGCCAAGGTGTGAAACTGGGTGTGGGTCCCAATCAGCCAGAGTTTCGGGTGTGTTCATTGTGAAACCTGGCCCCACCTTATCATGCGAATTCCTGAGATCAGCTGGCCCAGGATGTGAGTGGGCGTTAAGGCGTCTGGGAAGGGATCTCAAAACTGGATTATAGATGGCAGAGAGTTGGTGTCGTAAACCCCCGCCTCTGTTCAAAGATGGTCGCTCACAGTGCACATAGATGGCTTCTTTCACTCCTCTTTCAAACCATCTGTCCTCTCTGTCCAAAATGTGAACATTGGCATCCTCAAAAGAGTGTCCTTTATCCTTAAGATGCAGATGGACTGCCGAGTCTTGTCCTGTGGAGGTGGCTCTTCTGTGTTGTGCCATGCGCTTGTGATTTTCCTTGCAAGCTCCTTTGACTACGATGACCTGGATGACTGAGAACCTTCACAGACTTTATGGTCGTTCTTACCCACAGTGGAGAAGCGGACAGCAATTGGTGTAGTCTTCCCAACATGCTCAAACACTTTGGCTTTGCAGTAGCGAGTGATGTCATGAGTGACCTCAAAGTAGCCAAACGCCCCTGAATAATGGAGAAAAAATGAAAATAAATACAAATTTTAAAAGACATGTATGCTAATATAAGCTTCACAAATTTTGAGTTCTAGTTTTTACTGCATTTATCATGGGAACAAATCTAAGACTCTTGAAAGTAGGCCAACAAATAACTTGTTCAATGTCTGTCCAAAGTCTGAAGCCCTGATCTGTAAAGCCTGTAAAGATTAACAATTGTTCGGAGTTAATCCACAAATAAGCAGGATCCACATTTCCTTTTATACTTATTTTTTTGGTTGTCTTGTTTTAACTTTGTAATTTAATGCAGTCATTTGTAGCCATCTGCCTGCACCAGAATACAATTCTTGACTAAATTTGCACATAAATTTGAACACTTTCCAATGTTAAGGATCAGGCCACTGCTTGATCTCAGACATAAGTGCACCACATGCCTGCTGTTAAGACCTTTTAAACACTGGGAGTCTTTGGTGCCAGGTGCTGAATGTGTACCTTAGTAACTCTGCATCTGTGGCATTCTAGTGCATATTAAATGGCCAGTGTTGAGAATACACTGCATAGTGTACAAAGTGTTGTCACCGACAAATTGAAAAGTTGTCCTAGCCATTAAACTTTATCATTTTGAATAATGCATTGTCGATGTCTAGATCTCAAGCTATGATTTGTCTACTACTTCAGGCATTAGAACTAAGAAATGATTCATGTCTGAAGACTTTATAAATATAGAGCTAATCCCACGGTGAGTCATTTTAGCATTGTATTTGTGGATGTAGGTGGAAACAACCAAAAGGCACAAGACTAATAATATTGCGTAACAAAAAGCATGGCAGCAGTCATAACTGCTACAAAAACAATGATGTCAGAAATTACACAAACATTTTTGAATGATGTTGACCATAGATAATGAATAAATTAATTGAAGCCTTTAATTTTTTTACTGCCAGCAGGAAGACTTAAAAGAGTGTTACTTACCAAAACTGTGTGCGAGAACCATTGAGGGGCTCGAAATGAAATAAATATAGTGGGACACTATTTCTGGCCATACTGCTTAGCCCTAAGTGTTGGCATAAAATGTCTAGCCATCCTATTGACCTGAATGGCAACAATTTTTACGTTTGGCTTTCTTTACTTAATTACAAATATTCCTTTAAGAACGCAAAGCGTTTTTGTTAGCCTGTTAGTCAGCGAATACAAATAACAATTTTTTTTACCTTTTCTTACACACGATCAGCAGTAGTTTGTGTGCACTTTTGCACTGCTATAACAAAGGGACAGCAAATCAGATAAAAAAAGAGCATCATGACTACAGCACAATGCCTTACCTGCCCCTTTGGCATGGACCACTCTCTCTGGGATTCGTTCACGGTCAAAGTGGGCCATCTCATCTGTGAAGACTACATCTTGAACCAGCAGCGGCCCTCTTGGTCCTGCAGTCTGCAAGTTCAATTTGTCTCCCACTGGATGGCCACCGCCTGTGGTCAGCACATCTGGTTTCTGATAACAGATGGATAATAATTAAAAAAAACAAAAAACAACGACAACAAAAAAAACCCCCACAAAAACAGAAAGCATTAAATATATCTTGATGTAAGACTATAACAAAGACTAATGCAATACAGCTGGTCTTTCTTTAATGCAATTTTAACCTTATGGTTATAATGAAGAAACAAAATCAGTGCAAAATACTACGTGGCTTAATATATTAATCAATTAAATCATCTTCAGTGTTTGACATTACTCCTGCATGAGCCTTAAACTGTTATAATAACTCATTGTCTAAATGAACGCCCTTAAAACTGGCACTTTTGAAAGAAAGTGTCTATGAAACTAACAAAGATATTGACAAAGTTGCACAAGCAGTTAAAAAAGGCAGACTGCGTTAAGCATAAAAAAGTGACACGTGTATACAAGGGTGCAGTTTCGCAGGTGTACTATCATAACAATAACGCTGAAACTTGAAGCTGCTATGACGGCATGCTTTTTGTCTTTACGTGACTCTCAAACATGCTCAAAACAGCACGAATAAAAACAATTCTGCGACATGAACTTGGTTACTTTACAACGGCAATTTGCTCTAATATGCCCTAGTTATATATAGATAGGAGGGTTGAAGTTCAAACAAATAACCCTGGACCCACTTCTTATCTTCATGGTTAAAGTCTCTTTCACGGCTGTGAAAAAGTATAAAGGACTAAATACGACTGTATGATAAATACTTAAGACTAAAACTACACTAAAAACATTAATGTAGAGACTACAAGACATGAGCTACAAGCTAGCTCTTAGTTAGCCTGTTACCCCTAGACGACCTTTCACCCATTTCCAACTGTGGTAGCCACCGCGGAGTAAAATCACTTGATATAACCCAATGCATATACAGACCTGAGAACCTCGATTCGCCTTCCATGTCTTCATTTGGTCAGTAGCTTTATCTCTGTCGTCAGCCATCTTCACAATTCAGTGCTTAGACCACACACACTGTGCAGAATATGTTGCGCACAAAACACTGCTATCGTTTTATACCTACGCCAGAATTTCTTCCTGGACAGTGCCCGACGTTGCTCCGCCCCCCTGCGCCTGCTCCTGACCCACTTACGAGACTGAAGAGAAAGCACCAAACCAAAAACAGGCTGCTGATCGTACATAAATCTTTATGCAATGTTTAAGTGTGAAAAACCTTTAGCTTTCTAACCTACTCACTAAATATTCACTTTTAAACTGAAAATGCCGTCCAAAAAATGCCGTAAGACAAAAACAAAATAGCATGCATAAAATAGATACCTTATCTGAGGACACGCCTTAATGTTTACCGTTAACGCAAGCAAATCACCGAACAGCATATTTCCTTATTATTATTATTATTATTATTATTATTATTATTATTATTATTATTATTATTATTATTATTATTATTATTATTATTATTATATTGCAGCATAACTAAATTGTAAAAGAGTAGAAGAAAAAGGTGGAAAATGGCAAAAAAAAAGAGAAAACCCAATTTCTGATCTTTGAATTAATGTCAAAATTATTGAAATGTTCACTTGCACTGTACTGTTTATTGTACTTTCATTGTAGTTTACATGTTAGTACTTTTGCTTTTAGCATCTCACAACCTCAGTTAAGAAATTATTGCAATGATTTACAAATCTTAAACACATATTTTATTCACACATAGAATAATATATATTTGCCATTTTAAGAAATATACGTAACACATCTGAAACAAACAAGCAAAGCTAGAGCAGGGCCATGTTCCACGCTGTAGCTTCCCCGTTTTTTTAACGACAGTCCATAAAAGGGCTTTGCAGAGATGTTTGAGGGGGCGGGTGCTAAAAGTTAGAAAGGGGCACATAGAACCAGACAGAATAACAACAACCCACGTTCATCAAGAATCCAATGTGGAATCGAGTCATACTGTATCACTGTCATCAGGTGGGGACAGTGCAAAACGTAGCCTTTGTTTACCTGATAGGGTACAATGCTGTGAATGAATTGCTGCTGCTCCAGCTGCTGATAGAGCTGGGGAGCGGGGTTATGTTGATCTGAGGCTGTAGACATTAAAAAGTCCATAGGAGAGATGGTAGCTGATTAAACAAGTGTTATGAGATAATCATAAAATGTAAAGATTGATGACAGCGCTCGGAACCATAAGGCAACATTGAAAAAAAATGTGGAAAATAAAGTGACACTGAAATATTAGTAAGGCAAAAGACAGGGGTTGTTCTGGTCGGGTAAGAATGCAACAATACAAAAAATGTAACAGAATAATGCTAGAATATGTTTTTGTCATATTTGAAATATAAATCTAATACAATCTGTTTTTAAATGTATTTTCTTTAAAACAAAGTGTCTTTTTTGAATATCGTAATCCATAATTATGTGGATATGCATATTAGATCGTTTTAGTGAAATATAAGCCCCCTATAAAGGCAGGGAAAAGCCCTGTTACTCACTTTAAAACAAAATTTGTTCCCTAAAATGGTGGACAATGCTACAGACACATGACCTCTTTATCCAGTTATCTAGCGGCTAATTACCACCACCACTTGTGCAATTAATGAAAGGACAGGTCATGTTTTGTTGTGCAAAACAGGACAGAAAGACAGGGCAGGAGAGGAAGAAGAGAGGTTAGAGTTAAAGGTAAGGACTGCTCATTAAAACTTACATGTGAGTCCTGATGTTTTTAAGTTAGATATTTGGTTTGTACATGTGACATTATGTTTTTTCATATTGTGAAATCTGCTGCAAATCAAACTGAGGTAGACTAACTATGCTATTTAAAGGCTGCATGAAAATCCTCTGCAGTTTTCTGATGGACAAACAGGTTACAATGCTGTACTGTGAGGGATTTAATATCACTGTACTGGGTCTGCGACTCAGTATTGCTCTTTCTGACTCTGTAATTATATTATTTGATTATTGTCATTCATAGTTTAAGTTTTCTTTAGTTCTTAGTGACTGTAGTCACTTCCCCCTTTGTAGTTCTCTTAGCATGTGTGTAAGTCTCCCTGTGTTACTGCTTTCAGTGTTAGCTGTTCCACCTTTCTAGTTTCTCTGTGTTGTAGTTCTCATTTCCAGTGTTTTGTTTCTAGTTCTCATGTTCTGGGTCTAGTTTGGGTTTTATTTATTTATTTATTTATTTATTTAGGACAGTGCATGTTAATGAACATAAAAAAAATTACATGAATGTAAACATACCAGATTACAGCCAAGGGCTAATTTCCATCTGTTGTCCTTAAGCATAAAAATAGACATAATAAAAATTATGTCTGTAATGAGTTTATGTTTATGAACAATTCTCCCCAGTTACTGTGTTAAGCTTGTGTCCTGCGTCTGAGTTTCAGCCTGTGTGTTTCCTGTTTTATCTTGATAGTCATTGGCTGTATCCCAATTCAGGGTCTGCAGCCTTAAAGTACGCAGCCTCAACGATCCTCAAGGGCCGCGTACTCAAAGACCGCTAAGGCCGGAAGTGCGAGGCTTGTGAAATGGGACGGTCTAGCCTCCGTTGCGCTGCCCAGGTTGCCTAGCAACCATGATACTAACAGCTGGAAACGTGTCATACAGCTTTGTTTGACAGAAATGAAGGAGAGAATCTTTTGTTCATTTGTTTGTTTCTGTCTACATGAGCTTTGATCATTCTCTGTAAGATTAAGCCCAGCTATTGAACGGCGTATATTTTAAAGTAAAGGCTTTAAAATCAAGTTAGTACAAACGTCACTAATGTCACATAACTTTGCCGACATGTGGCCAACAGTAATGTTTTAATGTTCTTCGTTATTAATCATTTGCACATAAATAAGTGACATAATATTCAGTACTTACTTAAAGTTTACTCTTCGGGCGCCCCTCATCCGCCGTTTTTTTTTCAGCAAAATTATCCACACCCACCGCCGCTTCTGGGATATGTTGGGCCACGAAGTCCACACTGCCACAGCCTTAAAATTCAGGGAAATGAAGGACGCATTTCAGGGCCGCATTTCGAGCAGCCTTTGAATTGGGACAGCCTTCGGCGCGCCGCTGTGACGTAATCGGCCTTAAAATGCGTACTTTAAGGCTGCAGACCCTTTGTCTCACATTTGTGTATCTAGTTTTGCTTTCCCTCATCTCATTATGTCTGACTAGTCCCAGCTGTGTTTCCACCTGTTCCCCATCCTCTCATGTTCCTGCCTGTGTATCTTAGTTCTCAATCTTCCCTTGCTTGTCGTCACGTTGTACCCTCTCCATGCTGCGTGTTGCTCCAGGTTGTTTATTTTTCGGAGTATTGTTCCAGCAATAAAGCTGCCGTTTTAAGTTACGCGTCTGTGTTTGGGTCCTGCATTTGGGTCCATCCTCCTGCCAGCCACACAGCAAATCATGACATTTAAAATAAAGAACAGTGTGTCACTGTTGCATTGCAGGTGTGGTTTCATGGTAAGACTTAGGTTACATCAAGTGTAGCAGAGATTCAAAATTATTTTAGCTGATGATGCTGAGATCAATTTACTGAATTCCACCTTCAAACCAACTTTCTACCATCTAGAAAAAAGCATACACCATAAATACTATACTGCCAGTGTAGAGGATGGAAATCATAGAGCACAACTCACAAAACCGCTGCTGAGACTGTAAAGTTGTGTACATCTACAAAGAGAAGCAGATCAGCTCAATAGAAATGATTGTGAGTTATGATTCTTTTCCCCACAATGAGTCATTACAGAAATGTTTAGGTTTCCTCGACCTGCTGAATTCCACTTTAACTCATGACTGTACACCTTTTCCTGTTTAGAGGCAAAGTCATCTACATTTCAACCTAAGATGCAGACAAAGCAGACTTGTTCCTAAGAATTTGCCCCTTCTTCTCAACAGCTGCCCATAGTGGACCTCATCACAGCCTACAATGTAGGCAACAGAAAATACATATATTTTAAATTTTCCTTCTTTTCTTCAGTCAGTCAGTAGTCTCATGCTCTGTTCATCCTGCTATCACAATAAACACCTTCCACAACCTCAATCAGCCTGCGGGTCCTGTGTTTGGGTTCTCGATTCTCCATATCCACACAGAGCCAGTGACAAACACGAGGAAGTGAATGTTGTACTCAAATCGGGTCAGGCATGTCAGGTCAGGCTGAGGTGACTAGATCATATGCAGAGCGTGCCACATAGACACAGGTTTCCTCAGAGTGGCCAGCATCTGGTTCCAATGGGAGATTCCCATCGCGCTGACCTCAGGGCCGAGTATCACATGACCAAAGTTCTCATCCCGGCCATCACCTGTGGCCTCCGCCATTGTCACGACAATCTTTGAACAGAGGCGGTGGCTTACAACACCAACTGTCTGCCATCTATAATCCAGTTTTGAGATTTCTTCCCAGATGCCTTAAGGCACACTGGGTCATTTGACCTCAATAAATCACATGATAGGGTGGAGCTAGGTTTCACAATGAGTTCGCCCGAAACCTTGGCTGATTGTGACCAACAATCAGCCTTAATTAGGCTGAGCATTAATAGGGGGTCCATGACCCCCTTGGGTACAGTCCTATAGAGCTTAAATCTGGGACTCTCCACCAATTACTCTTAGAACTGAAGAAGCTTCTCAAAATGAGAAGTGAAACATCTTCAAGAAACCTAAAGAAGTCCAGATGCTTTTCTTTCCAAGCTCCTTAGACTACAATGACCTGGACGACTGAGAACCTTCACAGACATACTGCATACACTTTGGAAGGAACACCCACAATTGGTGCGGGAGTATAAAAAGGAATCAAGGAAACTTGTGGATTATATGAACCATGTCCATTTTACCTTAAGGTGCAGACAAAGCAAACTTGTTCCCAAAGGTTTGCCCCTTCTCCTCAACATTTGCCCATAGTGGCACACAACCACGGAAACCGTCAAATGGATTAATAAAGTAACACAATCAAAAGCAGAGAGAATCAGGACAAAGGCTTCAGCCACCCTCTCCAGTGCAAAAGTTCCTCCATCTAAACTCACAATACAAGAAAAGAAGGCCGTCACATCCCTGAACAAAGACCACAACATCACCATAATATCAGCCAAGATGCAGAACCAGAGACTTTTACATAAGCGTGAGCTG